ATTTTGGTTTCAGAGCATATTCAACACTTGAAAAAGATTAACTTATCGAAAGCTAGATAGTGCTACTATGTAAGTTCTTACAGTATATACAGTATTTTCCCACTACTACCTACTCACGTTGCATACCAGAATCTCCTCTTCATTTTACACTAACATATTTAATTTGAATACGTCATATCCTTATACATGTCCCCACTAAAATTGTTACATTTTTCATTGTGCTGCACACTCCCCACAACAAGCAAGAAGCCAGATATCGTCAATCAAACCAACAACGTGTAATAACCAAGCCTACCAACCAAAAGATAACCGCCGACCAAACCAACAAAAGAAAAGACCACTAGCCCACCAGTCCCCACTCAGAAGGAGGAGAACCCCTTGTTAAGGTGTTCTGCCAAGTTCTGCAGTGCTTTTTTGACTTAGCAATCCTTACCCTCCAGAAGGAAGGTCAAGCTGCATTCACCTTCAAACGCAAAGTTCGAGTTGGATAGTTTTATCCGTGCAGCAAAGAAAATCTCAGCTGTCGACCAGAATATTAGATCCCTCAACCAGACATGTCTCTCTAAGGTGACGCAGGTTCTGATCGATCACTACCAAACCACTATCCAGGAGAAGCTCATTATCACCACCTGCAGTCCACCGCATCATTTCCCATGCCCTGTCTTGGGTCTGTCGCTCCTATGGGAAACTCGGCCTGTTTTTACCAAATTCTACCAAACCATCAAAGAAAACAAGACTCAAATTGTCATATCTTTACCGACTGAAGACATGGATGTGAATCAACATACGCCAGCACCAAGTAGAGTTACCACCATATCTAAACAGACCCTAAAACGAGTCAGTACTTCCCCAAGCCCAAGTCCAGAGAACACAGGTAAACGATCACGCAGAGAGGGCACCCTCTACTATTTTCCTTTTCAGAATGCCTTCACCAACCAAGCCCAACAATCTTTCCCTAACGCTTAAATCATATTTACCTGTATATCTCCAAAAATATTACGAGGAAAGCCCAGCAGAATCTCTATTCCTTAAACAACATGATGATTGAATCAACAACCGACGCTACAATCCTATTACCTTTACCAAGAAGAACTCGAACCAGTTGACAACCTCCACTGGTCTCCAGAAACGCACGGGTGATAACTATAGTCTTTATCGCATCTATAAGCCAAATTTGACACGTTTCACTAAATTAAGGACAATAACTCTATAACTGTCATCTGATTGTTACCAAATTTGAACATGCATGAATAAAATCTGTGCCTCAATGTGAGCGTATAAAAAGGATCTGAAACCATATTACTATTAACACCTTTTCATTCTTAAAATGTTAATTTATCCAGAGCTGTAAATTTACCAGTTTTAAAGTAAAGATATTTGAAAAACAATAACTTATAGTTAAATTTTCCACGACATTGGCATAGGCTTTTTTTCATTCTGCAAAATAATGCAATCTTGTATATTCATCTGACTTGATGGATATGATTACTCCCATCTTCAATATCAACCCTTTCAGATCAGCAAGCTTCAACAGGTTCAAGTGGGAGAAACAACCTCTTCAATCATCTCACTAAATCCAACATTTAATATAAAATAAACAAACATCGTTTCAATATTTTGAAATGCAAAACGGCGGCAGGTCAATTCTCTATTAAGTATATTATTCTTTCAATAATATATCTAAATGCCAGAGCTATTTTTGTTTATTTCCTGATATTGTTAGTATATAAATATTTTGTATTATCTTTCACTGTAGAATATTCTCCTTTGAATATGTCATGGTTTTTATTATATGTTATAATGAAGTTTAAAACTAAATTGGATGTGTGGTTTCTTAAAACCAATTTGCTGGCCACCAATTTCATTTGATTTGGGAAGTCAGCTTCAAACAACACGTAAGTCTTTAAACTAATTACTGGGTTAAAATATCTAAACAGCTAAAGTAGTCAATCTTGGTTATCTTCAACCGTCTATCGAACTATTTCAACGTAATCTTAGCTGCATATATGTTTTCGAAACCACCCCTCCATGCGGTGCTAGAACATGTTTATTCCAAATCAACGTGGAACCACACACGTCTGCCATACATCCAGACATACTGAAACATTTTGCAAGTATGCATCGCCAAATTTCTTAGCTATCTATCGCGCATGAGAATCCAAATGT